TTTTATTCCTTCTCTTTTTTAATAGAACAATCACAAAGATGTACTATGAAAAATTTCACCGTCTTATTTCAATGCTCGAATTACTGCCTGCTGATTTCCCTGTTTTTTTTTTCATCATGAGTTTTGAAATTTTAGGATAGTAAAACAATGATTTTGCTGGAGATTCAATTATTCTAATATCTTCAGTTACGCTCACTTTTTTATTTACATGCTTAGAATCAGTGAAGGTACGGAAAAAAACTTGCTGTTTCCTTCTTTTGAAGACTCTCTTTCCATGATTAAAAAATTACGAGAGAAAAGCTATAAAAAAACAACTGAAAAATCTAAAAAAACTCCTGTAATAAAGCAATCATATACGCAACATTTGATTTTCAGGATGTCAGATCGTAAATATAAGCATGAAATGAAATTATTTAATGTCATAACCTTCACATTATTTACACATAAGCTAATTTACATTCTCAATTGAATGAGAAAAAAAATTATAATATTTCAATTCACAATGGGTAACAGCATTTTTACTATTATTAGTACTGAAAACTGTAAATTAAGCAAATTAATCTTGAAAAATTAAATCATAAATTAATCTCTGATATTTTTCATCTGATTTAATGATCGGCTGCACAGAAAATGTATTTCGTTCAGTTAAATGGATGAATTTTCAGAGAAAAATCTTAGGTATATAAATATACCTGAGCAAAAACTCAAAAATACAACATAAGCATGTAGAATAACCTAATTAACAACAAATGTTATGACATTAAAATCAACAAAGCATTTGCAATGGATCCAAAAAAAGCGAGCGCTGGAGCTCTATTATGCATGATTATTTTTGAAGAGCGCCCGACCACCAAGTTATGCATATTGCCGACGCGTAGCTCTGTTTCTTTGACTGTAATGAGATCACAACATTACCACTGTCGCACTGCAGCAGCTACTGCTGTAAGCGAATAAGTAGTTGCTGATGCTGCTGGACCAAACAGCTGCTTTGATCCCAGTGTTCACTGTTGGTCTGCCAAAGTACCGCTATCATATATTACTGCTGCCTTAAATCTACTCGCTTCTGTTGCTTGCTCTTTCCAACAACATTACAACTTCCAGCAGTTGCTGCCACTTCTCTTATCTTTCCTTTTTGCAACAAAAACTGCTCGCCTTGCTAGAACTCGTCACCATCACAGCTGGCTTAGCGGCTGCCCCTCACCACCACAGCTGGCTTTGCTGCTGCTCCACACTATCACTGCTGGCTTTGCTGCTGCTCCACACTATCACTGCTGGCATTGCTGCTGGCTAGCGACTGCAGTAGCACAAATGACCAAATGAAATAAAGTTCAAAAGGTTGTGTACTGAATGATTGCGTGACAAACTCCAACGAAAAATATACTCCCTAATGTGCTCCCTTCAACACATTCTGGGCGTTTATATATCAGTAGAAGCTCTGTCTTAAAGCCGCATTTATTAATAAGTCCGGCTGAGAACTGATGTAAATTACACTTCTCATTTTTTCTTTCAAACTGGAATTGAATGTATTTGTTTTCATAATTAAAATATAATTAAATTTGTATGAAAAATTGTTGTTTCATTAATATTGTACATATGTAGTAAAGAGCCGTTTCTAAATTTGTTGATCACGCCGGCAATTTCAAGGCATATAAAAAGATACATAAAGCTCTCGATTGATATGACTGCTAGAGAGGCATTGATTTCCACTCAATACCTGGAGGCGTATTTTTCACGGCGACTACATTTGAAGCTTGGCAACGATCATTTTCCCAGCGTATAATTTACAGGCAATTTATTAGGCACTGGTAGAGGTAATGGGTTAACAATAATAAAAACATAAATGAGGCAGTTAATCATCATAATAATTATATTTATTTCATTTATGGGCAATGAGCCATAAAATTCAACGGAAAAAGAATTAAGAAAGGAAGAATAGAAAACGATTAGTTCCATAACGTTCAAAATTTAAAGTGAAATTACACGACCGTTTTCTATGATTAAACTACATCAAAGTATCAACTGAACTAATAGATCCAATGCGAGAGTTGAACTCTGCCAAGACCAAATAAAAGCCATAAGTGGCACAATCTTGGCTATTTGACACGTATTAATCATCATTATAGCATGTATTTATTTACTTTGGAAATTGTGCCTATTTACCATTAAATTTCAAGGAAGAAACTTGACTTAGAAACGCATAATTTAAATAAGGAGTCTACCATAATCATACAACGTGGACATGATCTTTCACTTCAAATGTTCTTAGTCTACAACGTTATAACGAATCTCACAAGATTGTCAATCAAAAAATCCTAAAACTAATATTTATTTTCCCGGTTATACAGCAATGGAGTTTTAGCTTCTATACTAAGATCAATAAGTTTGATTTACAGCAGTTTGGGCTCAGCCCTCATGCAGCCGCTGCGAGTGAGAAAAAAATGTCTTCGGCATTAACATCGCAACCAAAATTTTGTCTCGAGACTCACGGTTGAAGCATTTTCTTCTCTTAGAATTTGATGCTTTAGAGCGTAGAGCGAAATTTCTTTAATTCATTTCGTAATATTTTTATTGCTAGTTGATAATTGCACGTGTTTTGTTAATGAAATTAATTATCCATATTAAAACTTGTGATTACAGTGTTACTCGGGTAAAAATATCTCACTTGTCCATTAATGTGATAGGTACACTTTACGTCCATGCTCAGATGGTAGCGCGCTACATGAACCATAAGAGATTAGTGCTAATCCTCGACAGGTATAATCGCAAACACATCAATTGATGCAGAGATTAAAATATTTTTCGTTTAAACAAGATTACAATCAACGCTGCAGCGAACTCATTATTCATAGTTCAAGCTACGGTTAATTTGTACATTTTTTAATTGAATTAATTAATTTGGCACGAAGCATAAGAGTTCACAAGTATGAAACTCTCTTACAGAAAGTGAACGCGATATCCTCCCTAACTATGCTATCTAATCAACGTAATGAGATCAAATAGAGATTTTGACGTGTGAAACGAATAGTTAACATTATCGATGATATTCCGTTGAATTGAAATTATTTGTTGCTTTCGGTAGGTCCTGTTCGTCCTCGCGATGACTAAGATTATGACAAATGTTAGGTGACAATCTTTAATTTAAGTATTCGTTGAACGCGTCTAATGTTTAAATTCTTTTTCCAAAATAATAACCTTGATTGAAATTGACGCATATTCAAGGCTCTCATAGGAGGAAAGATCATGACATGCAAATAAAAACAATGAGGGTATATTTTTTAACTTATTTTTGCAACAACAAAACAAGTCATTGAATAATTACCGAATATTCTGCTGGGAGAAATTCAATTATCTCTTGCAATACTTTTCATTATTTCCAACAGTTTTCTGCAGGCTTCACTAACCATGGTGGCACTTAGAAGCTCTCAATACTCTGTTGAAAATCAAGTCGGATGGTCAGTGTTGCTCAGACTAGATTGGCAGTCTCAAATACACCCTCAAAATTAATTCTCAGCTGATTCTTGATTTTATCAAATTTCGATGTATATGAACAGAGTTCAACGGTTGATCGTCGATTTTTCCATAACAAACTGGTATATATAATTTGTATTGATTTTACTCTAAATCTTAAGGTTATAATGACCATAATATTTTTATTATATTTAAACGCGACAATCCAAAATTATTTTCCAACTATTAGTTTATGAGAAGAATTGATTTATTTCCTTTTTGTTAAAAAAATATGCAGATCTGTTTTGAACATACCTTGCCATGCGAGTGTCGTCCTAGAAGCTTATGACATTTTATCTAACCGGCATATATAAAGTAAACAGATAATATTAGCTACAGAATGGTTTGAAGCGTTCAAGCAAACGTGAGACAATATTTAATTTAAATTAATTAATGTTTTAAACGAGAGTTAAACGAACGTGTTATCAGACAAGGAAGTTGATTCCAAGCTTTAAAATATATTATTTCATTACATCATTTCTTAATTCATCCAAAAACCTTCCCTTTGAATAAACCTTGTCTGGACCATCAAATTAATGATAACTTACATCACTGTAACTATATCAATCGAATAATATGTTTACAACCCATTTACGTCTCTTGTGCCACATATTTATCATTCCGTATATGGACTAGAATATATGTTAATTTCATCGGTTTCAATCAAACTCGAATTCGGCACCAGAGTCGGCAGAGCTTTATTTACAATGTGGTATATACAAGTAGGTTCAAAAAGCAATCGATTAATGAACTTCATGTCCCACACGCTACCATAGACTAGTAATTATATATCATTATGATCGTTGGGAATAATTCTAAATATTTTATATAACAATGTCGATACAATAATAGTTAAGACTACGTTACACATTTTCCCGCTTACATATTTCGGTCGATCAGATCTCCGCTTTACAACAGCAAAATACTAAGTTATTTCGGAAAACTAATAAAATAAGTTTATTCCACTAAAATTTATACGTAATCACTGGACTTCTGTATAAGAGTTTTTAATTCTGGTAAAAAATGTCCAGTTTCAATAAATTAGTCAAGCTCATGTGCCGGCTGCATTTTTAAAATAATAAAATATACAAATTAAATAAATGAAACAAGAGAAAATAAAAATGAATGTAAGTAGGTATTTCATCATTTTTCCTTTCAATATTAAACTAAACGGCTTCCGTGCTTCTTAAATGAGGTGCTTATTTCGATACGAAATCTAGCGAATTTTTCTTTTTGCACCTCATTTTCACGAAAAACCAATCTCCTTTGGTTTCCTCGCGACACTTGAACGTTGTAAAAAATTCAATGTAAGTTTACGGCATTCAATAATTACACCAGTAGACATCTAAGAATCTTTTATAATTTCACGTTGAATTAATACTCCTTGTCCAATGTCAAGAAATTAAAATAATGTACTTCCAACTTCGCAAATCAAGGAGCAGGTTTCATGTTTAGAAAATCCATCCCCAGAACAGCATGTAACAGCCAGGAGTTCAGAAGAACACCACAAGAAGGTTGGCCAAGACGACCGCCAGCGCCATGACAGCCAGGCACCGCGACCCGCGCTCACATGAACTTCCGTTTCTGGCTGTGAAAAAACAAACAAGTAAAAACATTAACGAGTGTAATAAATGCGTCATGAAGATATGTTAATCCTAAATTTCGTACAAACTATTTTTTGCGATAACATTAAACAAGGTTGAAGTTTAGTTTCCGATGCATGAATAACGTTTAAAGGTGAAGGTTGATTCTCGGGAACGTGAAGGTTCACGAGAATCAATCTTTCAGTTGATGTTATCTCACTACGAGCATTCCCCGATCCAATATGCTAATTATTACATAAAATTATAAAATAATATAATTATTCTTTCGAGGGAACCAGTTTGTGAACCGTCCCACTGCGCAACTTACTCCCTAAATTACAACCACTTGAGACCGAATTAAGTGGTTGCTTGTGACTGGTTTGAAATGAAAAATTATCAAATTCAATTATAAATAATGAAAATCAAAATTATGTTTTTTTTCCAAGATTAACTGTTATTAATGCTTTAAATTACAGCCATTGAGAGTGCGGAGAAACATCTAAGTCGCAGCTCACATCACGCCTGCACCATCGAGCAGTCAAGGGATGCCGGCCATCACCACAAAGGGTTTTTGGCGGCACTCTTCTCCCTGTTAATTGGTCTCACTGCCAAACTTCAAGTGCAAAAGTTACAAAGTTTACTCGTCGTTGTTGATCTTGCGGAAGAGTTTTTGTCGGCAGTCACCGAGGTGGGAGGTAAGTTTACAATCTAGCTAAGTGGGAGGCTGCAGCACCGAATATATTGGACAGCGAGTGGCGGCAAAACGACTAGTACAATGGCCTTCTAGAGCGCTTCAATCGTTATCCTGATAAATTCTAATCAATGTTCCACGCTTCGACTAACAGCAATATTCGATCAGCATGATTCTATAAGGGTTAAAAGGAAATATTTTTATTTGTGATAGGAAAATATCAATTACTAAAGGATCAAGTTGCAGTAAAATAACTATTTATCTTAACTGCAAGAATCTTGGTTTAACAGGAATGTAATCGTTCTTCGGCCATCAACTCCGGATGAGTGGCATAGTTTTCTCTGTGCAAGAGATAATCTCCATTCGAATATGACGGATGAAGGAATCTTTTCCATCCAAGAGATTCTCTCTAATAGATTTCCATGGACACGTGTGAGAAGCTCGCTGGGTTCTGCAGTGATGACGTGTTGCTTGTTCCTCAAGCGAGGTCGGCTTTTTTTGTACTAAGCTACTTGTGCGCGATGACATTTTCACCCGTTGTCATTATTCTTAATATTAAGTTAGTAATAAAGCCTTATTTCTTTTCACTTCTACAACTTTAATAATGAATCGTAACCAGTGCAAACGAGCAAAAATTGTATCCACAAGCTCTAACAATTTTGCATTAAACTCAAACGAATTTCAGTAGGAAGTATTTTTTACGTTTTTTTCAGTTGCTGTTGATGCGGCTCCACATTTCGCTTGTAACCGCTGCCTTTCTACTGGTTATAAAGGACCTAATAACTATTCTTATACCTAACAGTATTACGTAGAATTTATGTGACTAATTCCACTCTGATCTTGTTTCTCATGTCTTCTGTCATCACTCTTCGACTTCCTTCTTGCTCTACATCACTCTCCGACTTTTTCTTGCTCCTGCTTCCTTCTTGCTCTTGCTTCGACTTCCTTCTTCTACCTTCTATACTCTACAGCTTCTTGCGTTCTCGAAATTACTACTTGTATACTGATTCAACTCGGAGAGCAAAAATATGGAGCCCTCGACATTTTCAGTACTGCTTTCTTTTTATAAAACTCATTTTTTTGTACCAGAGCTTCAGGCATATCTATTTGAATATATTTACTTACTCCGAGTTGCTGGTAGTATCAGCTGAAATAATTCATTGCAAGACATAGGTGAGACATAATTCATTTTTAGACAATAAAATTTTCATTCACATATTAGTCACCTTGTAGTTCTCTTATTTAACTGCTTCCCAGTGCTGTCAAGTATTAAATTAGAATTTCTTATGCTTGAATTGAAGAAAATTCTCTCTAGTTTGCCACCTTCAGTCGCCGCTGCACCAAGGCTATTATAAAATTCCTGCGTTGGATAAAATCCTTCGACTGAGCCCCTCCCACGTGAGAAAAACTACCGACGGAAACACCCTGTAAGAAGCTCGCCTGAATCCTCTTAGAGCCGTCGCCGTGAGTTGCTCTTCACTTCGCAATCGTATTCTCGACCAGTTTTCCGACCGAGCTTTGTCATCCTCCATAATACTTGCCGGGATTCGTAGCAGAATCGATCGCAGTTTTAACGCGTCATTGACAGCGGTGAGAAAAACGAAACCGAGGAAGCCAAAAAACGAGCTTATTTTCACAGCACCAGCGTCTACATTTCTTCAAGTTCGTAATGTTTACTGTGATTCTGACTAAATGAATATTACGCCACCGCATCCACAGAAGTAAATCAAAATTTCTCGCGCAACTCCTAAACAACAGTTCGAGGAGGTCGCCTTTACCTAAGGTTATATATTTAAAGTTATGTACGTTTTTTATGTAATTGACAGAGATGAAGGGATTTTATTCAATTTTTAAGTGAGAGGAAATGCAAGAGTTCGAGCTGTAATTGTGACCAGGAATTACGCTCGAGTTCAGTTGAAGTCTGAACACGCGATGCAAGTCAGGTGCTAGGCTCGATCGATACTCAAATGGTTCTTAGTGCATTTCCGTCTTTCGTTACAAGCTTCATTCTCAAATGAATTGCTTGACAAATTGTATTTGCTTTCATCACAAAAGCGGAGAAGTTTCTCTCGCAAATCGGAGCCAGAATCGTTTTTGTCGGCGTCCGTTTAGCATAACAATACTGAGGACTGGTGAGCGACCCTGGTTGGCGCTGTAGCCTTGTTCGGGCCTACGGCTTTACCGGTGTTCGCACAGCTCCTGGAAATCTAGGACGAAAAGCGAATCTTCTTAAATTAAATACGCGTAGTGACGAAAGCACACTATAATAGAAATTAGTTCATCGACACGTGAACATCTTTCCATTGACTTCGTTTTTTATGACTCCGTTTGAATAAAATACTGCGTTGATTATTTGCGACATTTTGATATACACTTGCGACCGACAATTTGTTGATCATGTCGAGCATCGATGTTGTGTCTGACTTGAAATTTTATGCATACGGCCTCGCCACATCATTATTCCTTATGTCATTTAGAATCTTCTTTACTTCCACAAATCTTTATGCATTAAAAAATAATCTATGTAGTACCCGTCATTTTAAAAATTTGAATCTGTTCACTTTTGCTGATTCGGATAAAGAGCAATGCGAACGCTGAGGGGTTGACTATATCTTTTTGTACAATATATTTTAATTTTTTGGCAAGATCCCCCCTTCCCAATAGCTTTGATGTGGATTTTATATGAGTATAAACCCTATTAAACATTCTCGTATAATAACCACGCAATTATTGACAAAATTAGTTTTCGTCAATCCTTGTCCAAATCATCTATCTAAATAGACCAAAAGAAAAAAGATTTATTCGTTTGGAAATGGACATAATCCTCTACCCAGTAACGTTTTTTACGAACACAACTTTAAATAATTCAGTTTCTACAATTTCTTTATAATAAAGCCATATGGTGATCGTTCATAAAGATGCGGGCTGCACTCGGCGCCAATTGACTGGCTTTGGAGAGCATCATTAGCGTGATTATTCTCGTAATTACCAGAAGAAATAATGCATAAATCCATGGCGCTCTACAGATTATGTCGAGGCCAGATAAAGCGAGAGCTAATGCATCTTATCAAGCAACACAAACGTTCCCGGCTTCATTTAAACGTCTATTTTATGACGAATTTAAACATCTTCCAACGAAGAGAACTATTCTCAGTTCTGTCACACTGAAACTTTGGACCAGGGCGCCACTGACAACGAGATTGATTCTAATAACTAAATTCATTTATTCATTCGGTGAAAGCAGGAGATTTGACGTGAAAATTATTACCTAGTTTTTGTTTTTTAATTGTGCTGTTGGGTTGCTGTAGTAATGTTAATTATTCATCAATAGTAGTAATAGCTGTTATTGTAGTAATATTAATTATTTATCAATAGTAATAATAGGTTAATGTAGTAATGTTAATTATTTTCAATATTAAAGGCATCAATATAATGCAATTCTGGGGCCAATGCTTGAAAAATTGTTTCGTATCTCCTGGAATGGCAAGTTGCAAACCCTCCTTTGGGCAATTAAATGCTGTTACCGTTGTTCTTAAAATAAATTAGGGGAACAATTTAACATTTAATTTTTTGCTACTAGAAAATGAGTTGCTTTTAGAGGAAAAAAAGGCAATTTTCTCGTATTTCAATCAAAACTTGAGTCAATGTACCTATAACCTCAAAAATTAATAGGCATTACAGATAAATAGATATAAAAATGAGCCTCTGTTTATTACATTTATATTAAGACTAATAGTTACATTTATAATACAATTGCAGCCCCCCCTACCTCTGATGAGACCCTCCCTGTGTTCGAGCACGACAGGCATGGCCTCAGGGGCGCCGCCCTCCCGGTACACCGCCGACACCGTCGCCCGACACCGTACCTCCAGCTCGCCGTTAGCATCGAAGTGCTCGTCCTGTACCTGCACTCAGAGAAACAAGTGAGACTTTGTCAAGATAGTGTTCGTCCTGTACCTGCACTCAGAGAAACAAGTGGGACTTTGTCAAGATAGTGTTCGTCCTGTACCTGCACTCAGAGAAACAAGTGAGACTTTGTCAAGATAGCTATGCACTTTCTGCCTGTGTCCACAATATTGACACAGTTGGACCTGGAAAAAAGAAGCAGCTGTGCTACATGCAAGAAATTTGAATTCTTCTCAATTTGAATAATACGTATAACCAATTAATACTTCTGAGTATGACTGGCCCGATACTTCAAGCCGTAGTTCAGGAACAGAGACATTAATTCCGCGTGCCACAAACTCCTGCAACGTTTTTAAACGTTGCAGGTGTTTTGCATACGAGTGTAAATACCTCGGATGCTTTAAAGAAATATTGAGGCCAATGATTTTTAGGAAATACTTGTCATTAAATTATTAGCCGATATAGGGAGGGGATTTATGTCCTACAATTTTCCGATATAGCCGCTTCCGTTTCGTCAGTATTACAATTCCAGGCGTTTTATGCCTTCGACACGCAACCAATTAGGCAACAGTGTGTTTAACAAAAAATTGTAGCATATCAGCGGAAGTTCAATAGCCCTCATATTATTTGCTCTCAACGTCATCCACTTCATTAGTGATTGAGACCGCTAGTAAAAAAATGATTGAGACCGCAAGTGTAAAGAGATTGAGATTGAGACAGACCGCAAGTGTAAATAAATCCAATTCACAAGCTTCCCCTAAAATAGAAATTAAAATCTTGCATGTCATTATAAACACTAGTCAAGAAGTCATTCTGTTGAACGATAAGATAAATTTAAATTTAAATTTTCAAGACAAAAATTCTGATAATTTGCTCACCTGGAAGGTGAGGCCGAGTCTCTTGCTCTCGAGCTGGTCCCGGTGCACCCAGGGGTAGTATTGCTCCAACTGGTGAGGTGCCGCCTGGGCCCCCAAATATTGCACATTATTATTTATTATAATTTATTGCGCATGCAACGACAAAAACTGGAATAATTAATAATATCTCACACTTAAATAAAATGTAACTTAGCAGTACCACATTCATTTTACTACTGCAGCCCCGGGATCAGTTAGAGTGTTGAACAAAAACAAGTTTATGCGAAGTTCTCACTTAATTCCTTCAGGAGCTATTTCAGCTCGAGGCCTGTGAAGTTCTTGTACAAAATTGGCTTGCACATTATTACGTACGATTCCCATTTAAAAATTATGAAATTATTCGCAAATCGGATTTGAAGCTTAAATTTTGCTCGTATCTCCCATATAATTGCTCGGTGCGATAAAATAGTGTATGTTATAACCTCACACTTCGAAATGAAAATATATTTATTTGTGTCCGCTTAATTTTGCTCTGGCAAGATTAAATTCAGCGAAGAATATGTCGAAAATAACTTCACAATTTCATCAATTCAAACTCTTCGATCTCTCCAAACTTTGCGAATAATCAAAATTATCAAACATAGTTTGATACTTCGATCAACCTAACCCAATTTATCACATAATAAGTCTTTTAAACTTGAACGCAATTAGATCTTCTTAAATTGAAGGAATTTTGTTCTGAAATCATGCATTGGGATTCTGAATAGTGCATAACAATAGTGTCATGATTCTGAATAGTGCATAACAATAGTGTCATGATTCTGAATAGTGCATAACAGGATACACAAATTGTAGGAATTATCGATCCTGGAACATGCCGCGGGTGTGCGTGCTGAAATGATATAATTATTATTTTGTATCAATAAGTGTAATGCAAACGAAGCATATGAATTTTTATTTATATGCTTATCCATATCTCATGAATTTTGTGCCAAACGATCTACCTCATGGAACTTTTTTTAACCATGAAAGGAACCTTTCTCAACACAGGAAAGTTCAACTTAGTGCAAAGTTGAAAGTTGAATTGAAAACTAATATTAAAGAAAATGAGAAGTAAAGCAAAAATAAAAAATTATTTACAAATAAAAGCTTAGGAGCAAATGAGGCATGAAGCTCGACCTCGACGCCGTTGATGAACCACGTGAGTGTGGGCGCAGGCTTGCTGCGCGCGGAGGTGCAGTTGAGGTGAGCCGTGTCGCCCACCTTGTAGTGGCTCCTGCCTCCTGTGATGGTGGGGGGCTGCGACGGCAGCTCTGAACAACATGTATGCAGTCAACATTATTATTTGCCATATTAGATATTATATATCATATATATTGTATTATGCAATAAACCTTATTATTTGCCATATTCGATATTATATATCATTTTATATTGTGTTATGATATATCTTTTGTAGTAAGATTAGGAAAACTGACTGTAATTGAATGTATGATGTTGTTTCAGTGATGGCTTTGGTTAGAGATGGAATAACGGAGAAATCGCCTTTATCTCCATGAAATTATTAGCATATTAGATTAATGGGTTGACGGAAATAATAACATTTTTTGGCTCACTTACACTAACTAAGGAATTTGAATCATTATCATCAATTATTGATTGTAAGAAATTCAATATATTAAAGAAAAACCATTCATGTCTTGCATAATTTTAAGTCTTGCAGATATAACATCTTCACTGAAGCAGACTTTGAGGCAATATTTAATATTATAAGAAACTTTATGAGCTACTGACTGTATCTCACGAGTTTAACTGGCGACGAGCTGAAGAAGTCTTGTCCACTCCATTAATTTCAATTGTTGTTAACAAGGTTAAGTTTAACATTATTTTGGTGAACAATATTTTTTACTCATTTCAGAGTGAATGTTCAAGAATGCAGGACGCACCGACGACGACCATGACGGACTGGTTGGTGTAGGTGCGGAAGTGGGGCGAGTCTGCCGACACCTCGCAGCGGTAGATGCCCGTAGACGCGAACGACAGCTTCTGCAGCAGCACGCGCTTCTCGTTAGAACGCGTGATCTGACAGACCAAGAAAAAATATCATTATAAAAGTATTCTTCATTATATGGAATCATGAAACATTGTCTCATGGAAGTTTTATATATGTTGCAACTATAAAAACATAATGAAAACGATTACTTGATTGGCAATGACTTTAATGAAAAAGATTAATTACACATCAATAAAGAGAAGAATCTCACCAAAGTTTTATTTTAGTTTAATAAAAAATTGTAACATTAAACAGACACGTGAAGAAATTGCTCATGTTGTTTGTTCGATCGGTTAATTTGAGCAACAAATAAAATGGAAAAAATTTGAAAATTTATGCTAGATGTTCAATTACAGTCTGTGTCAAAACGAGTAGAATGCTAATCTCCTCTTTGAAGGCAATATAAAATGACTTTATTTGTTATTAGTCCTGTTGATGTGTTGCGAGCAAGGTAATCAAATTATTTATTATAAAATCCATAATAAATCGTGAATAAAAATTTCCGTTATTAATACTGAAATTCATAAAGAACTAATGTTCGACCTATATATATATTTAACTTTTATACTAAAACTTTATATAATATACATTTTAAATAATCGTCCTCTAGAGATATGAGTGAATAATATTTTGATACCTGCATTTACATCGACCAAGACACCGCATCAGTCTAAATATACGATTACAAATTCAGTTCATTCACAATCTTGTAGAAAGAAAGTTCTTCTTCATTAACGTTTACACAAAGTTGCATTGCCAGCTCCAACGTTATTTCAACATTAATTACAGGTTATTCAAATGAATTTCTCTATAATAAGTCCCATACACTCTTTTTCTAATTACACCTTATTCAAATGACTTTCTCTGTAATAAGCTGGAAGACACAAGGGTCAGCTTGCCGTCCGACATCGTTCTGTGCCCATCACATACACTCTATTATTAATTACACATTATTCAAATGAAATTCTCTGTAATAAGTCATATACACTCTATCATTAATTACGCATTATTCTAATGGCTATCTCCGTAATAAGTCACATACACTCTATTACTAATTACATGTTATTCTAATGACTTTCTCTGTAATAAGTCACATACACTTTATTATTAATTACACATTATTCAAATGACTTTCTCTGTAATAATCACATACGCACTATAATTGATACTTGAATAGATCACTACGCACGACATCGGTTCGCTGTCGAGTGTTGACCAGGAGGGAGCATGTCTCTGGGAACAGGCCTTCATTCATTGCAGAACACGGCGATAAAGCACGCAGCTCTGTACACAGCATCATAAATTGAAAAGAACTGAGTCAACATAACAATTTTATTGCCTCTGTTCTCGTTTGCCCATAAAAATTTGTTATAAATGGCAATCGGCACGGTAATGTTATCGTTTATGTGTGAACGACGCTTGAGTTCAATTATCCTTATATCGTAAAATTTCACACTTTTTTAGTGTCAACTGCTGAATTTAAACTTAATTTCATCCAATGGTAAATGAAAATAATCCGGTAAGTCTAAGCCTATTTATAAATACGTCTTAAAATGAGTCAGAAATAAGGGTTTAGTTTAGCTCCAATATGAGTTATTATTCAGAAACAATCAGATTCAATTTGTCATGAGTATAAGATTTTGAATTTTTCAAATATATCAGTCATTAAGCTAACCCAAATGCAGCTAACGTACAAGCTCTGACAAGAACGCACTACTCGACGCTCTATATAGGTTAAAATTAATAATGGTACGTTGCTCGGCATCTATAGACACTGAATACTTCAATGAAAATATGCTTTTCATTTGTCATTTTCAAGTCCCTTACTGTCGTTTTCCAATTAATAAAATTAGATAACATTTTGACCGCTGTGGACTCATCATTCTAGAGACCATCCAACTTCTGGTTGGTTCCGTGCATAACTCAATATTTTGGTCTGTATACAGAGATCCAGTAGGTAATAATTATTTTAATATGATATCTTGAGCCATAGGTCTGCAAAAAAAAATTCTCAAAATTCGTTTAAATCATCACGCTCCACTTTCAAGCGCGCTGTAGAAAACAGTTACGCGGCCATCAAAATGTAAAGCTGGGCAGCTCCATAAGTCATCATATGGAGATGCCGCGCTGAAGGCCATCTCATCTCGGAGGTGCGATATTGCGCCTCGTCGCCTCCATTAGCAGCTTCCATTAAAAGCCATCGCAACACCGTCGGTGGCTAGGCATCGACCATTGTATCAGTCCTGGTATTATGCCTAATATTTTCAATCGGGGACAGAACGTTGGGAATGGGACTCCTCTACATTGGTCGCTTGACCGATGGAGGAACTGTAGACCTCACTTTCAAAGACAGAGTTTTAGGCACGCAATAGGAAATAGTTCAAGCCTCAAGGCAATAGTGTTTAATAGTGTCTTTGTTGTTCAAGTCTCAGAGATATCGCTCCAATTAGTATGCTTTACTCGGAGGTGTGGTTTATCATAAGTGATTTTTTCCAAAAGAGGCAGAACAGATTATTCTAACCTTCATAATTTATTTATTTGTATTAAATGTCTGTGTGATACTCTATAGCGTCACCAAATATTAACGTGAGTTGGAAAATGGCCTTTTTAATGTTTCTAAGACGGCAACGCGTCGCACCACGCATACGTTTGGTGTTGGTGCCTCCACATACATCGTCGTAAGGGATGACGCATTCCGGACCAAATTACAGGATTACTGCGAGGTTTTTGCGCCCACACCTCAGAACCGTCCTTTGTTGCAATTACACTTCAAAGGCGCCGACTTTTGCTCCTACTCATCAAAAACGTCGTATGTTGCACACACACAAACGTCGTTTGTTTCACCTAGACCTGAATTAAAGACACCGTTTACTGCACCCTACTCCTCAAAAACGTTGTTTGTTGCACCTACGCCTCAATTGATGACATTCATTGTTGCAGCCAATCCTCAGAGACTTCGTTTGATGCACCTAAACCTCAATTAAAAACGTCGTTTGCAGGCCTCACTGTCGATTAAAGTCACTGTCGCACCATTGCAAACAAGCTCCTAAAAATCTATAAAACTCCGTCCAACGTTTTGACGACCGTGTATTCATATTACATGTCTGTCAATTTCAGAATTAAAGTAGCAAATGTTCATGAGTTACCTGTTGAATGACAGGAATCATGAGAATTCCTAAATACCTGGATTCATGCATTAAGATGCATTACCAGGGTAAGTTCATAATGAGTAGTTTCGTGCGAACGCAATCTAGGTAGTTAAACAAGATCAGAGCATTAAATAAGCAGCCCGTATTAATATTTTGCACTTTAGTTTACAGTAAAAAGTATACTATTTTATATTTTTTAACTTTGTCTGACATGAATATTTTTAAAACGAAACAAGGTCACTGGTGAATTATGTTTTTTGCCACAGATTGTGACCACTTTGATGTATTTATACCATTTATATGGTCCAAATTTGTATATTTTAGTTGATGCATATGTTGATGTGTAAATTGGCTCTGTCCTTGAGCGTTCACTCCTGACGTACACAATTTGATGTTATGCTTCAAGCAGCGGAGGGCTGATGCTCCGGGGTTTAGGTGGATGATGGATGAAGCTTTCATGTAAAGTGCCAATGAGGCTAAGATGGCGCGAGACAAGGAATACTTCAAGCCTACGCAAAGTTTAAAAAAACTACAAAAGTTTTGCTAGAGAAAATCGGCTGATGCTAATGACATGCAACGGTGCAAGCTTAGCCTATTCTGCTGCAGCTCTCGACGGTCAGAGTCATCCTGTTGCCGATGCTTGAGAGCAGCGTTGATTTAATTTATGAAAGTCCGTTAATTTTAATAATTAAAAGTTATAGCCTGTTGCGTTAGTTTATGATGTATTCCGAATACCGTGCATCGTATTTGCATGTAAGCATGACTGAGTTCTAAAATCAAGATTTATAAAGGACGCAAAATTTTTCAAATCATTTATTGACTGATTTTTTAATTAAATCATTCTTTTTGCTATTGATCTCACTTTCGAATCATATCATATCATAATGATGTCAGCGCTGAAGAATAGGCCCGATGTGGCCTGTCGCCTATTCTTGTACTTTTCGCGCCTTGTCCACAGGAGATCTAAAAGCAGGTCCTTAATTGACTGGATCTTTTCAGGACTGACGATAGTTTTAAATAGCTACTAGACTTCCACCGGGTTCGACATGGTGCTAGGCATTTCAAGTCTGAACATATATTTTTCCATAGCTTTATCTAGTCTTTTCTTGAACGCGTTCATGCTCGGAGCGTCAACGATGCAAACAGGGAGGCTGTTCACGTGTGGGAGATTCGAAGCGAGAAGAAATGTTGGCGCGTGGATAAGTTGAAAATGCAGTTTTTTTAGTATATAGCCGTGGCCCCTGTGGTGGTTCTTGTTTCAAATTCTAGTAATCCTTCTGGGACCTTGTATAAACCATGAGTATAATTGTGTACGTCAATGAGGTCACCACGTAGACGTCGGTAAAAGAGGCTTGGAAGCTTAATTATATCTTTAATCGATCTTCGTAAGACTTGAGTATTCTGGATTCCTCCTGCCCGGCATCATCAATCAGGTACCCGTGTCTGGTTTGTATTGAATTCATTAATACAGAGGGCAATTATTCCTTTATCGTAGTAGTTCCTTCTTGCTCGACTATGTCATTTTAATTATAAAAGATGTCATCAGATCGAATAGAAAATCATTTAAAATGTTAAATATATAATTGAGAGCTTAATTTTATTTCTTTCTTCATTTCTGTGAGTTTCGACATTCATGTTCGGAGCATTCATGATTACCGTTAACATGATCTGTCCTCGGCACAAGTTCTTCTTAAAGGAAGCAGAGTGGGATAATATATAGGACCAAAATATTCTTTCAGAAAAATATGAAATACGTAAATTGCCAGACGTAATCTTAAAGACGTAAATTGCCAGCCACACGTACATTGCTTCTAAGGTGCGCAAGCCATGTAACAATCAAATATATACGCAGGCAAGTCGTCAATACTGTATCTATGAAA